CACCTAAAAGAATAAAAAAAGCTATGTTTAGATCTTTAATCTTCACCGCTTTAGGATTTTACTTTGCAGAACGCAGGAGTTTCTGGTCGACCGCGGCCTCGATCCGCACTGACTAACATTAGTTTCAGATCCAGATGTGGTAAAACACCAAAGTCACACAGAGACACAAACTAACTGACCGATCGAGGCAGTAACGGACCAGCAACTTTCTGTGTTTACTGCCAGCTAAAATGACAAAGCGATATAAAGCGGCTGCCTGAGAGCGAAGTAAAGCAGAGAGAATATTCTAAATACAGCGTACACTTACACACATGTTGATATACAACTTCACTTCAAAAAAACCTGAACTATCCCTTTAATCTGTGGGCAATAATTATTAATACGAGGTTACAAATGAGCATTTAACTATTACTATTACTACTCTAACATTTAAATGTTTATTTATTTAAATACTGTGATAATGAACTAATAATTAACAGATTTGTGTGTTTCTATGACGTCTCTTTTTCTACAGACGCACTCTGACAGGATCTGCTGTTCCTGTCTACCGACACGCTGACGCCGAACATCAACAACCAACAGTTTAAGAATTAAAGTGACGTTCATTCACGGAGCGTTCTGCATGTGTATCCCACAAACTGTAAACCTGCTCATCCATCACACTGTAGATTGATCTCTGATCAGTTTGCTCCACCTCTTCTCTTCTCGTCTGTCCGGCTGCTCAGTTCTGTCTATTTAAGATGTTATATTGTGACATATTGTGACCTTTTGCTGCTGTTTTGTCTTTAAGTTCTGATGTTTTTCCATGAAAATTCTGTAAATAAAGTTTCTTTTTGCGTTAATCTGCACACGACTGTTGATTGTTTATTAAACGCCACCATGTCCATAAACCGAGTTTAAGGCAGAATATCTTTCAGACTATTACACATTTATCTGTTGATTTTATTACACTCTGTCTGTTTGAATCTGTAGATTTCACCATAAATCAGCAGTAGATAATGGATCATTTACATATTGAACATAACATTTCTGAAAACTTGTAATACAAAAAATAATTGTCTTAATGTGAGTTTCATGCTGACGTCTCTTAGTTTAAATTGTGACCCCATTCAGATCTTTAAAGGTCGTTTTCTCACAATCTGAACCAGAAATCAACTTCCAGTTATATTCCTCTTTATTCTGAAGGTTTGTACAGAGGGTTTTATATATGTATATCATATATAGCCTGATTTATATCACATTTTACTACTAAAAACACTGATTTATGGAGTAATGAAAGAGATAATTTCCTCTGTAAAAACCTTTGACTCTAATGTTGGACCTGGCTTTATACTGTGTTCAGATTTCTGTTCTAGAAATGTTTGAAAATGAGTTTAATTTAAAGTTGATATTGCCTCATTTG